TACTTTTCCAAACTTGTTGGCATATTGAGTGTAGCACCTTAACAGCATCATCTTTTAAGATTTTAAATAGTTCAACTGGAATGCCATCACCTCCACTGGCCTTGTTGTTAGCCAGGCTTTCTAAGGCCCACTTGACTTCACTCTCCAGGATATCTAGCTCAAGGTCAGCAACCACACTATCTGTGTTGTGCGGGACATCTAGATCTTTCTGGTATAATTCCTCTGTGTATTATACCAGAGTGTCCTTTCAGCTTAGGCCCAGCCACTTCATCAGCTACTTGTACTTGTCCTCCACTCTTCCTCAGTAGCATGTTGGATGCCTTCCGACCTGAGAGGTTCATTTTCCAGTGTCATATCTTTTAGCCTTTTGTTTCTGGTCATGGAGTATTCTTGGCAAATATACTGGAGTGGCTTGCCAGTTCCTGCTCCAGGGTTTAGGCAGAAATCTCCACTATAACCTGTCCATCTTGGGTGTCCCTGCATGGCATAGCCCATATCTTCTCAGAATTACTCAAGCCCCTTCTCCACAACAAGGCAGCAGTCCGTGAAGGGATTTTCATTATTGGGCCCCATTAGAGTTGCTTGATATAATGGGGCCCAATGTGTCTCCCTCCCACTTTCAATTCAATTTAAACCCCTCCTGATGACATTCTTCATGCCATGGCCAAACACATCCTTTCTAGTCCTTGTGAGATACAATCCATCACTTGTCAAGGAAATTCAGCAGTGCTGTTGCCTGTCAGTTTAGCAAACAGTGCAAAAGAAAAAAGAATTATCATAGTCTCTTGTATTTGTTGCTCAGAAGATAATTCTGAAGGTTAAAATGCTGGCAATGCATTGCATTTCACACTGCTGGAAGCATGCCTTATCCATTATTCTCAGTGAGCGAGATAAAGGGTGTAAATTGTGTCCAGCATTTTTTTTGGCAATAAGAAGCTAACCAGGAATTATTATATTTCCTTCTCATATCAAGATACAACGATTTAAAGTGCACATTGGGAGCAGAAGAACTCTTCTTGTCCCTGGGCCTCCTTGATTTTGGAGCTTCGTACACGGTTGTTATAACCAACGTAAGTCACCAGTCCTGCTGCTTCCTTTCTATTTTTGCTGACTTGGTTGTAAAAAATACCGTTTTTGGACTTCTCTTCAACAGCTGGCCATTGAAATGCAACCCATTTGTTTACTGCAGATCAAAAGCCATGGTAACAAAGAAATTGGTGTCAAGCTGAATTAGATATGCAAATTACATGCATTATGCTAATATTTTTATGCAACCACAGTCCATAACCCCACTTAAGGTCAGCGGGGTGGAGCTAGTCCTGACTAAGCTAAACTTTCCCATTGTCATCAGGGAGAGTGTGGATGTCTGCCTAAACATGCTTATTTGAGAAAATGGCATTTACTTCTCAGTAGACATGACACAGCTGGCTGGATACATCCCAGAGTTCCCTAGGCTGGAGACATGGAAGTTCAAATACTGTTAAAGTGCTATATCTGTTGAGTGCAGGGACACTCTCAGATTCTCTGATATAAAGAGAAAATGAACAATAATATTCAGTAATTGGGTAACTCAGTGGTTGAGGTATCTGGATGCGGAGCCAGGGGTTGAGAGTTCGATTCCCTACTGAGCCCCCTGTGAGCCAGCCTGTGTAGCCTTGGGCGAGATGCACAGTCCCAAGATGCCTCCTGAAGGAGGGAATGGTAAGCCACTCCTGAGTATTCTCTACTTGGGAAACCCTGAACGGGGTTAAGGTTAGAGTTAGAATTTACTTGATGGTACATTATGATTGTTGTTGTTTTTCTTAAACATAACTAGAGTGCAGACCTGGCATCAGTATCAGGCATAGTGGGTCAGATGTGAGGGCTTACGGCTAGCAGCACTGACCTCAGTTTTTGAGGAGCCCTTTTACACTCTAGTACTTTAAACTGAAGTGCCATGTGAAGCAGTTGCCGCCACCATCTTAATGTATGCAGGATGCTTCTTGGTATATTCTGAGGAAGGCCCGGAAGCATCCGGAGGAAACTGCCGTATTTTTCCGTTTACGATGATCCAAAGTATAAGATGACCCCCCCTTTTCTGACCCCCAAGTTATAAAATTTGCATGCTCACGCCCCTTTGATCCTCCCACCCTTTCCCGGCTGTGTTTCCTACTTTCTAAGCCCTGCGGAGCTTAGGAAATGGGTAACACAGCCATGAAAGGGCAGCGCGCCCGCACCCCTTTGGTCCTGAAGCCCTTTCATGGCTGCTTCAGGATCAAAGGGGTGCGAGTGTGTTTCCCTTTCATGGCTGCTTTACTCTGTGGCTTCGCAAAAGGCAGGGAAAGCAGCTGCCTTCCATGTATAAAACGACCCTCAATTTTTGTCTAATTATTTAAGTAAAAAATCTCATTTTATACACAGAAAAATAAGGTAATCTGGCTGCTACGGCTACTGCAGTTGCTTTGACTGATGTTTCTGCTTTCATTACAGAGCTACCTACAGCTGCCTCTCCCTGCTGTTGTACACTATGGTGGTGCCACTCTGGTAAACTTATAGGTGGGTCACCAGTGCAACACTGGGGATCTGAATGGGCAATTTGCCCAAGGTCCTCTCAAACCTGGCACTAATTCTGAAAGACTGAATGTTTTAAAAGGCTTAGCTTCAGCTGCATCCTGCCCAAATTTTGTTCTGCAATTAACTGGAAAATTATTTTTTAAAAAAATTCTCCATCCTCGCCCTTTCAGTTGTTCCGATTCCTTTGGAGAATTGAAATTTGTAAGGAATGGCTATAATAGTATGTTTATCCAGGAGTAAGCCCCACTGAACACAGCAGGATGGCTTCTTGAATAAATATGCATCAGGTTGAGTCGCAAAGCTGCCAGCTTGAGGGAAGATAAACCGACTGATGAACAGATGAATAGATAGATGCATGGATAGATAGATAGATGTAATAACAGTCTTTTTTCCTTTTTATGGGAAAACACAATTCTGACTTTAACAGATAATTAAAGAAGAAGAAGGGGAACAGAGGCCACCTGACAAAAATTAAATTTTCAGCCATAAAGCTTAAGGGTCTGACAAAGATATTCACCACAGCCACCCCATCTCCCTGCTTTTCCTGAATATATAATACTTTGCTATTTGCTATCTGCTGTTTTATAAGCTGCTTCTAGCTTCTCAGAATTTGAGGCTCGCCAATCTGGGCATTTTGTTCTATCTATTGAGAAACCAGTCCCGGTGCTTTATTATATTTTATTCAAATATGAATTCATTATTGATAAAAACCCATTAAATAAGGTTGGCAAAGAGATCCCCTTGTAATAAAATGAAGCCCACGTATTTCAATAAATGTTTGCTAAGGGCACAGGAGCAATTGCTATGCAGAACTTTACTACTGGGAGTCTGACTCTTCTCTTCCATGAAGACAACAGCTCCATTCAGGCTAAAGGAGCTACATATTTTCTAAGAATATATATGAGGCATTTTCTTGCAACTGCAAGCAGGGCTGGGCCTACCTTTAGGCAAAGTGAGGTGGCTGCCTCAAGCAGAAGATGTTAGAATGGAGCAAGACTTTGGAGACAGAGCTCTGGGGGTGCCCTATGGTGTGATGGGCAATCCTGTCTAATTGGTAGCCAATGGTGAAGAGAAATTCAGCTGTCAACCCAGTCTGCTTCAGTAGGCAGGAAGGGGATGGTAGGGCATCTTTGCCTCACAGAGCAAAATGCAGAGCATGGGAAAGATTTTTTGGACTACATTTCTCATAATCCCCCAGCTAATGTGACCAACATAGGGAACAACAGCTTCTCCAGATGTTATTGAACTCAGTCTCTTGACAATTGGAATCAGAATAGCTAATTGACCAGGTTAATGTACTTGGACTCCAGATGTACCAGAAGAGAAGGAGATTCTCCATCCCATATATGCACACGTATGTATAGATGCACACATACAAATGCATTATTTCATGGCTTATGATGCAGCCCTTACGTACTTACTCTGCATTCTGCTGCTGGCTGAGCCTAAAGCAAATGTAGCTACATTATCATGAACAAATCCTCTTACCTAGTTTTGTTGGCATAACACAAATGGCATCAGTTTTGGAAGTGAATTGCCATAAGTGAAGAAATCACTGCAGACAGTAGTTGCTACATACTGAGTTCTATGACTCAACATGCAACTGATAATGTCTGCAATTTCTTCACTTACGGCAATTTGCCCCCAGAAGGTATGCCATTTATGTAGCTCTACAAGAGGATTGTGGCCAGTGACAAAAGTGTTGTACTAAAATGAGAGATGAGGCTAAATGACAGTAGTATGAACTATCAAGAATGTGTATATATCAGGGTGGCGAAGAGCTGCCACTAGCAGACCTATGGAAGTAGTAATACTAAAGTCAAGTTAAGAACTGCCATGAAAAACACTCAATTGGGCTCAGTTGGCACTTGTTTCTTGTTGGTACTATACTTCTACCTATGAACCAAGTAGCTGGTCTACTCTCATCTAGGTCTTGTAAGTAACTGTACAGATTTTTCAGCTTCTTGATCTATTGTGCTTTGTGGCATATGCTTGAAGAAACTAAATGATGCACATTGAGCAGCGATATGGATGAACTGCAATGTGTAAATCACTAGGACCATTACCTTCAATGCCCATTCTTTTGTCAACTTTAACCTTCTTTTGAATGTGTTTGTGATATTTTTTCATACTGCGCTGAGTAATGCAAACAATTACCACTCACCCCTTTTAACCTTCTGAAACTTGCCTTGTCTTCTCTCTCTGTATGGTGATTAAGCACATCTCATAAAACAATTCCAGCACCTTCCTGGTAAAAGCAGAATTTGTTGATGCCTCTAATGTGATTTCATTACAGTTTACCATCAAAGTTCATAGCTGTTTAATGGGTCCGACTGGAAAATATCATTTCAGGCTCTGAAAGGAAACCTCCCTTGTGGCTTTTGCAGATACTTTTTTAAAAAAATACTGCAATTTTTTTATTTTTTAAACTACCGTGAATAGGGTAGGGAATACAAAAGGTAAAAGGAAGTGTAAAGGATGGGGAAAGGGTTTTGAAGATAGGAGAACAAAGAGTATACAATTATCCAATCTATTCATATTAAGTATACATGCTGGCTTTTCCAGATCCTGTGTGAGTGAATGTAAATGAAATACCTGTACAGGTCTTGCACTCCATCATCTTATCAATATGACTGTTTTTCTCCCTAACACAGACGTCTGCACAGGCCCTCCAGACATGGAAGACAGAAGACATTCCGGCCAATAATGTCCATATTTCATGGCAGATTCCACAGTACCTTTTAATATCAGCTGGAGAAGTGATGTTCTCTGTTACAGGACTTGCCTTCTCCTACTCCCAGGTAGTGTATTTAGGACTCTGTGCATGAAGACAAGCACAATAAATTGGATGTCCTTGACTGATATGACCAAAGAGATAGTCACACTTTGCCAAGTCCTCCAAAGCAGAGAGCAGGTGGAAGAGATGGCAAAGTTGATTGCAAGTCTGCATCACAACCTTAATCACATTTATTACTGGTGCCCAGAATTTGTGACCTTGCGTCTTCCATCTCTTGGTGCAAACATGACTGACTGCACTGTCTAGAGGTTCTGGCACAGTGTCTCTCTCACACACACACCCCTCACAGAAGGGTGGTGCAGGGGATCTCTTGCCAGCCATCAAATGATTCCGCTAACATCTGTGGGGAGTGGTGGAAGCAACATGTGCCTTACAGCTTAAATTCTTCTTTTATATATACGTTCACTAAAGCAACTGGAAATGCCCGTATAGATGGGCAGGATACAAATCTAATGAATGAATGAATGAATGAATGAATGAATGAATGAATAAATAAATAAATAAATGAATGAATGAATGAATGAATGAATGAATGAATGAATGAATANNNNAACAAATAAATAAATAAATAAATAAATCTATGTCTGCCTATCTCTCCTAGGTTAAATTGTAACCTCCTTTTATGTTCAAAGTTTTAATGCTGAGATGTGCTGTGTTGCAGGCTCTGAAATGGAGAACTCTCCAGAAACAAATATAGTTGTGACCTCAAAACTGCTGAGTACACCCCAATGTGCATTGCTTATAATCTCTTTCTAGAAGGGCATGGGAGGGATATTCACAAAGAAGGCAGGCAGGAATGAAGGATATATACAGTGGGGTCTCTACTTAAGAACGTCTCTACTTAAGAACAATCCAACTTAAGAACAGCTCCATTTGCTAAATTTTGCTTCTACTTGAGAACAGAAATCCAAGATAAGAACAGGAAAAAAAACCTTTCCCGCTCTTTTTTTAAGGTCATCTTAGGTTAAAAAAAATTTACCCCCTAGTGGTAGAGTACGTATTAACCAGCTTTGCATTAGTTCCTATGGGAACTAATGCTTCAATGTACGAATGCACCTCTACATAACAACAACAAAAAAAAACCAGCCAGAACGGATTAATTGGTTTTCAGTCCATTCCTATGGGAAATTTTGTTTCAACTTAAGAACGTTTCAACTGAAGAACACCATTCCAAAACGGATTAAGTTCTTAAGTAGAGGTTCCACTGTAGTTTCTATGGACGGAAAACAGCAGATACGGATTAAATGGTTTTCAATGCATTCCTATGGGAAATGCAGATTCAACATGAGAACTTTTCAACTTGAGAACCACCTTCCAATACGGATTAAGTTCTTAAGTAGAGACCCCACTGTAATCAGAGAAAGACAATGGGCCTTGCATCTCCCCCTCCCATGGTATCCGTATTGTCATACAAACGAGCCAGTAACTGACCATCCTTGACTGATGTACTTCTGAGCACCACTGTCATCCCCGGGGATAATGTGGAAATATCTCAAATGTTTGGAAATAAATTATACTTATCAGATATTTTCCTCTTCCCCCTCTACCACTTTTTTTTCTTTTTTCTTTCTCAGTCTCCTGTCAGCATGAAGTCAGTGTTGCAAGCAGGTTGGCTTTTAACTGTAGCCATTGGAAATGCAATAGTGCTCGTTGTTGCCCAGGCTGCACCTCTGCAACAGGTATGGAGTAAGGTGTTTTTTTTTTCAACAGTGCTACTGCTTCTGCTGCTGCTACACTTGTTGGGAACACTTTGCAGGAGGTTCTGCTCTTGGTTCAGTAGCTCACTGGTTCTTAACCTTGGGGCTACTCAGGAGTTTTGGACTGCAACTCCCAGAAGCCTTCACCACCAGCTGTGCTGGCTGGGGTTTCTGGGAGTTGCTGTTCAAAAGCATCTGAGTAACAAAGGTTAAGAACCACTGCAGTAGCTGATGTGTTCATTCTTGTTAAGGGAGAGCTGGGAACCGTTTCTTTTTGCAAAGGCAATTGCCAAACACATGAAAAACCCTAACTAATCCTTGCACAATGGCAGGATATGACCTGGCAATACAGAGATTTTAGTGTCCTGCCAGAGTAAGAAGCCATAAGAACCTTAGACCACTCTTTCTGTTTGGCCTGATGAGAGCTTTTGTTTTTAACCGCATCTCACACCTCCAGGTCAAGTTAGACTCTGATCTCTGATGAAGGACTTTTTATAACATCATTCAGTATGCATGCTGTTTTTGTTTTTTAACTGAACTGGACAGATATGCAAGCTGACAGATCTATCTATCCAGGCCAGGAGCTTTAAGCACTGGGTTTGAATCTTTTTATATTCAGGTTGGTGCTGCTGAATGATGGCTTCTCACTCCTAAGAATATCTTCCCCTCTCATACAACATATTAGGCAAGGAGGGACAAGCATGGTCCTCTCAATGCAGAGAAAAGCTATACCTATTGAATTTGTCCACTGCAAATGGGTTGACAGCAGAATTTCATTGTAGTTCATTTTTAAGCATTCACCTACATTTACCAGTCTAGCAAAGCAAGATATTTATATTTTAAAGATTCAAATACAGGAGAAAGTGACCGCTCAGCTCATGATACCTGCAAGGAGCATTTTGGCTAGCCAGATAGCTATATTCCTCTGTTTGTTCTACCCTAGCGCCCCTTTCAGTGCATACCTCCAAATGCTCTTCATCTTTGTTGGGAGGTCAAAAGCAATCAATGCACACAGACTCACAAGTAGCAAGGAACTGTCTGATGATCCTTTGGAACTGAGCTAAGCAGAGTTTCCAAGCAATTGCTCAGTGATCATGCAAATAGGCACGAAGCATGTAGTAGCTAAATGCCAAAAACATTTAGTGACTAATCAGTGCCAAAGAACTGTTCACTTGTGTCTTCGCCACTTTGGCTACTGTTGCAACATATTCATCAGAGCTAGATCCAAAATTTGGAGAAGTAGATTTGTTTTCCTAAAATATTGTAGAAGGACTCAACCCTGTGGGATCATCCTGCCAAGCAATTTTGTGCAATTAAGGCCCTATTATGTAAGCATTGACACCTACCATTTAGCAACTAATCCAATGAATCTGTTCCCTAGTTGACACTAGCAACAGGATACTGGTATAAAGGTTATGCACGAGGACATTCCAGCACAGGGACGAGCAAAGTACATCCTTGGGGGCCCCTAGGTTGTTTTTCTGAGGCCCATCAGAAACCCAGCCACATAAATTATTTTCCCAGGTTAAAAAGTGTGTGTGTGTGTGTGTGTGTGTATGTGTATGTGTATGTGTATGTATGTATGTATGTATGTATGTATGTATGTATGTATGTATGTATGTATGTATGTATGTATGTATGTATGTATGTATGTATGTATGTATGTATGTATGTATGTATGTATGTGTATTTGTTTTTTTCCATTTTGGTGATCTTTGTGGCCCCCAGAGGATCTCAGAAGCAGAAAACTGGCCCTTGGATCCACTGAAGTTAGCCCATCCTTCCTCTAGCACAAGTCCTAGAAAGGAGAAGCAGCGTAACATCTTCACCTGTAACATAACATCCATCCCAACACAGAGGGCACACAATGCATATGCCAGGCTGAAGCCAAACATGGAAGGTGCACTGACTGGGAGCAGTAGGTACCTCGTAGAGCACGGGTTTAGCGCTAGGCAGGGCCAATTGACATGTTAAACGACGTTGCCAGTTGCACATTGCAAGTGAAAGCTGTGTATTGTCAAAATCAACTCAAAGTATATTTTTAAAGACCTGTGGATGCCACAAATGCTGTTCTGTAGGATGAAGTGTACTGCAGATCTCCCATGGTCATCCAATATAGATGTTTAAATTTTAGCTTACTGTATTCAGTTCTTAATGTACTTTGCGTATGCTCCAAAGAGATGCATTCTGACTCTATGGTCTCCTGAGGAAGACTTTCACACTCACGTTTCAGGGCCATTTTACTGCCGCATACAAGCTTTCAACAATTTATGAAAGAGTCTTCCAGCTGATTTCGAAACCGCTGCACCTATAGAGTATCCACCTGGAATATGCAGCCAGGAGCTAAAATTTGCCTATTTTCCCACTAGGCTTCTACAGTACAGGAAGGAAAATCAAGCATGTGTGTATTAATAGTAAGCAAACATTACAAATCATTACAAATAGGAATGATGATTTTAAAACATTTTCTTCTTCTTCAGTGGGTCGAGTTTGTCCTATTTGCTGTGCTCCTTTTTGTCGTGTTCGTTATTTTCTCCATCATGGGATATTTCTACACAAGCGTGGATCCGGAAGACCTCATTGCCAATGAGAAGAAGCGAAAGATGTCAAGCAATAAAGATATGATTGACCTTGTCACTAAGAAAACAGAGCTATAAGATGATTGTGGACACTGGACTGGGCTTCATGGCTTTTTTGTTTTAACATGGTGGTAAGAAAATGGATTCATTTTTCATGCTGACTTCCCACAAAAATTATTATATTCGGGAGAAAAGAAAAGAAAAGAAAAAAAACCTGATATGAACTACTGGGAACTATAGCTAATTACAGTAAAGGCAGTGTAGTTGTAAATATGCCATTTTCTTTTGGCCCCATCAAGTGTTTAGTATAGTTCTTTTTAAAAATACATTTATATTTCAGTCCTATGCATCTGTATCAAGCCTGACGGAACTCAATGATACTTATTCCCAGGTTGATGTTTATATTATTAAGGATATTTACTCGGGGGATAAGCATAATGTACATCATACCAAACAATAGGCCAGGTTTATTAAGAAAGCTGAATGGAAGATAATAAGGAAAACATCGTAAAGAACAAATGAACAAAAGCACAATGTAGCATCTAATTCTCTTGAGCAATGAACAAATGGATAAAACTTAAATGCTTTTCCTACTGCTGTCTTTTAGTATTTGTTTCTAGATGCAACTTTGAGCTCTTCTACACTGTGTTTCAATGTCTCCACACTATTACCTTGGGGGGGAAATGGTCCCAATCCAGAGGTGCAAATGATGCATGGCTACCCCAGTTTTTTTGGGGGGGGGAGGAGTTACTTCAAGACTTTACTGGAATTTGGAAATTTGTCCCAAATTATCATACCCTGTTCCCCCGAAAACAAGACCTAACCTGAAAATAAGCCCTAGTATGGTTTTTCAGGATGTTCATAATATAAGCCCTACCCCCAAAATAAGCCCCAGTTAAGTGAAACTCCACCCTCCACCATTGTGCAGCAACCAGAAGAAGATACATGAAAAAAATCCCCTGAAAATAAGCCCTAATGTGTTCTTTGGAGCAAATATTAATATAAGGCGTACTAATCAGAAGTTTTGGCATATCTGCTCACATTGTTTTCCCCAAACCTTTTCTTTAAGCAGTTCTCGTTTCATGCTCAAGGGGTCATCACACTGACTGGGGGCATCCACCACAGTGATACAGACCTAAATGTTTCCAAAAGATTGAGATGATGTAGAAAAAAAGCCTTCTTTATCCCAGAAACAATTAAATAGGTTCCAAGAACATCTCCAAGTGACATTTAAACCAAAGCATCCCTTGTACGGCAGCGATTTTGTGCGCATCTGCTCTAAATGTTTAGATTGAAGTGGAAGAACTATGGTAGGTCTGAGGGCCAATCCTGTTCACCAGAACCCACCAGACTGACCCTCTCACCACCCTTCACTGAAATTTGGTGGCAATACAGGAAAAGGCGCTTAAAGCAAGCCTTGTCTAATTTGGCTTTTAGCCATTTACCACCAAATTTCAGGAGTAGTTTTGGGGATGCCTCAAGGGCCTGCAAAAACAGCTTTGGACCACACATGTCCTGTAGACGGTGCACGCCTCACAGTGGATTGATTACATCACTGCCTTCTCTATCCTTGCTGTGTTGGCCACTCTTTTTTTTTTTGTGCCAGCGTTGTTCTGCCTCTGGATCGTATGAACCGATATCTACAGTCTATGAAACGCATCATCTCAACATTAGCATCTTCAACTTTATAAAACATCTCAACATTTTATAAAGATTCTTCGAAGCACATTTTACACACTCAGACAGCATGAAGAAATAAAAAGGTGGTGCATATGAATATATTAAATGTACGGGCAAATACTTCATCCAGTCAAGCAAAGCTATTCTGTGGACTGCAAATGCTAGAACAGAAAGAAAACAAACTCACGTATCTTAGCTTCTCCTCTGTTATATTTCTCAAAGACAGGCATGATGGGGTTTAAAGCAAACCCACAGCTGAGAGGAAGAAGCCTAGATAAACTATAGAGATGATTGCCTACAAAAAGGCTTCCCCTGCCCTACAACACAGGCTCATACATTGAAAACTTAAAGAACTGCTGAAGCATGCCCAGCCATAATTCAGAGATGATCATATAATTGTATTGGCTGAAATACTGTATGTTCTGGAATGACATAAAGTGCCAAAAGAAGCATGCTGGGCATTGTACCCGGACACTGCACCATTAGATTGCACCATGGATCACCCACCTACCATTTTGCCCGTTGCATGGCAGGTGTAGGGAAGTGCTTTGTGAATAGCACTTCTGCCCTCCCGCACTTTCCCTCTAACATCGCTGCAGTTCCGTGTTGCATGCATGGACTTGCACAACAGGATTTCAGCCATTGTGTACAAATTAATTAAAAATTATTTTGCATGAGAGCAATTCAGGGGACTATTGTGTGAAATAAAATGACATTGGTTCTGGTCAGGTAAAACGGCACATTGAGTTCTTTCAGATCCTTCTTATGAGTTCCCCCCCCCTTTTAAATCAGTCCAACTAGAATGAGTCATCAGTTGTTTTTCATCTTCTCTGCTTGTGCCCATAATATTCAGGCACATTCTTCAAGGCATGTGTTTGTTTATCCTAAATTCTGTTTTGTGATACAATGCAAATTACCTCTGCAACAGCTGAATTGCTTGAGCGTGATTATTCCTGAGCTGCTTCCAAATTGCATCACAAATGGAAAATAGGCCTCTTACTCTTCCAAATCCCGTGCCTGAAGGAACAGATGAGTTCCAGCACTAGTAAGCACTAGCAGACATGATTTTAAATTATAGGGATATTAACATTTTTATAAGCCTTCAATTCGGACACTTGGCTTTCAGAACGTGTATGGCATCAAGTGAATGAAAATTCCTAGGAATGTTTATTTTGTATAGAAATTATCAATATACCAAGGATTTAAAATCTTTCTGTGTGGACGGTAGAGCTACTGATCTGATGTGATGTTCCTTAAAACCACAGACTTCCAGAAGTGCTTTCTTTACAAACAAAAGAAAAACCCACACCAGCAGAAAAACATGGGAAGGAAAGAAAGACAGACATTAGCACAGATTGTCATACAAAGCTGAGATTTAATTAAGGGAAACCTTTTCCAAAATCGTAAAGAATCGTTTAATAGGCACCATGAATCTTTGTTTCCGTTCATGTTGCTAAATATCCCAAGTCAGATTTTGCTAAACGGATGGCTATAAATTGTTGTAGTAGAAGAATAAATTGTAAAATTTCTTTCAAACAAAAGAGAGATGAAAATCTTTATCCTAACAGATTGGCTAAATGTAGATAGTAGATCCCACATGGTGGCACAGTCACAGTCATGAAACCCTTCATTGTATAGTTTATATTTTGAAATATTCAGTTAGGTATGGAGTGTCTGAGCAATCAAAGGAACCACAGAGGTCCCTCCCCCCCCCAAAAAAAAGCCCCCAACTCTGCAAGTGTCACGGTTAAAAATCAATCTCCCCAGGAGCCTTTTCAAATGTCAAGAAGAATGGTTGTAGCTTCTACTTCTTATTTATCTCTCCAGCAAAGATAAGCAGAGACTGCCTTCCAACAGACAATCGCAGCTTGCCAATCTTTCTCCCCACCTCCCTTTGCAGTCTATGACTCTCTTGTCTTAGTGCAATCCCATCCATGTCCAGGATGGTCCAGGATGGAGTCCAAAACATATAGTTCACTGGTTCCCAACCCTGGGTCCTCAGATGTTCTTGGAAAACAACTCGCAGAAATCCTGGCCAGAACAGCAAATAGTGAAGGCTTCTGGGAGTTTTAGTCCAAAAACATCTGGGAACACAAGGTTAAGAACCACGGATAGAGGGGCACAGGTCAAACACAGCATAAACATATGCATGTTTAAATCCCATTCTTTTCAAAACAATTTACTTTACTGGAACTTTAGCTCATCATAATTAAACTGCCTTATTATTTCAGTGGAGCTAAAGTGTCCTTCCAATATGTTTGGATTTGCAGCTTAACCCTTCTTTAATTCGCTAGCAAAGTAACCCACTGTCATTTCACGGTGTCTTTCTAAGCATACTTTCCTTTAAGCCCCACTGAACTATGTGAGGCATATTTTCTGAACAAACATACTAAAGGTCAGGGTGCAATGAATTTATGAGTGGGGTGTGTGAATCCAACAATAGATTGGATTTAAAAAAAAAAATTAAATTTTTTTTAAAAAGCAAGCATTTATATCTCCTTTAATATACTAGTCATTATATTATTTGTCATGCCTCATTTCCAGTCTGCGTTTCAAACACAATTTTGATTATAAATGTGAGTTTGCATGAACAACTCACATTCCAAGTTTAGCCACTGAAACCTGACAAGCTCAAAGCTAAGCAAAAAAGACACAAACTCTCCTTCCTTCCTTCCTTCCTTCCTTCCTTCCTTCCTTACTTACTTACTTACTTACTTACTTACTTACTTACTTCCTTACTTCCTTACTTCCTTACTTCCTTACTTCCTTCCTTGATTTGTCCTTAGTTTCCAGATTCCTACCTACCTGCACTATCACTCTCTTTGTTTATCTTATTTCAATGACAGAAGGCATGCTTCACATACAGAAGGCTCCCAATGCAGCCCATGACATCAGGAGTTGAAGTAGGATCTTGGGTGGCAAGTGATGGGAGAAGTCCCTGCAGAAACCCTGGAGAACCACCTGAACTCAAAGAGAAGGCAATACTTAGAGAGACAAAACATTTGGCATAAAGTTGTTTCTGATAGCCAAAGTCCTGCCACATATTTGTCAGGTGGACAGGGTAAACATCTGTAGAGATTAGATTAGGCATCCTGTAGAGATTAGATTTAGGCATCATTGAGAGACTATGGCAGTGTGCTTTGAATAGAGGACTTGGGACAGCGTCTGGTGTGGCTGAGAAGGCCAATTTGAGAGTGACAATCCCTTCCACACTGAAGACAAATACAATCTGTCCCCTGTCCAGCTCCCTGATTTTGCTGCTTCCGGGACTGCCTCTTTGCCTCACCCTGCTGGACATGAATCTCTTCAAAATGGGAGAGGCCACTATGCACCACCTGCCTCCAGGCTGAATGCTCAGATGTCAACGTTTCCCATCTGTTCAGGTCCATTCCTAAGGCCTTCAGATCCCACTTACTGATATCCTTGTATCGCAGCTGTGGTCTCCCTCTGGGGCAATTTCCCTGCACTAATTCTCCATTCAGGAGATCTTTTGGAATCCTAGTAGAAGGGAAAGCAGAAATCTGAGTGGAAGACTGTAGGGATATAGTGGAAGCTCTATATCATATGGTCTAAAACAGACATGCTGTTAATTCCCATACTTGCTGCTTTCATATTCTCCAAACCCTCTTTTAAACATTTTTTACATTTGTGATGAATTTTATTCATAGAATACGTGTCCTTGCATGCATTTTACACCTAAATTGTATTTTTTTTTCCTACAGTGAATCCTAAAATACTGGTTATAATGTGCACCTTGATGCTCTTTGCAGCAGGGAACTATGTTGCAAAAAACAAGAGAATTGCAAAAGGCAAATGCTCTGTTTTTCCATCAGGTGATTAAACCACAAGGTGCAAATCAGGTCAGCTTACCTTAA